CAACTTTTGATCTAGCGGTTGATATAACTTACGTCCTGGAAATGAGGTCCGGTGCCATAGCCATCCCCATATAATAATAATAATAATAATAGTCAATTCTTTGTTGGGCAAAACGAATCATGGAGAGAACTAAACAACTTTTTATTGTGAAAGACGTATTGGTAACAATCCATGTACATAATATGGTGCTGAAGTTTATTAGGACCGCAAAATATAATAACAGACAATTATAGGAATATTCAAGGGTCTACGTAGGTTGAATCTGGAAATGCATCTCAATGGATAGCGGTGCCGGCAGCACTACTCATCTGTGGCGGCGGTGATTTAAGAGGGTCGTGCTTGGGGTTAGGCCCTGGTTCAGGGTAATCTTCAACGACAACTATGTTCTCCGTACCTGTAAATTTGTAAGCCAAAAAGTTACAAAAAACATAATACACTGCTCTCGTATAACAATAATGATATTATTTTTAAGGTTTGAGTACTGTAGCTTATTATGAAAAATTGAGTACATCAATAATGGATCACTAACATTAAAAAAAATGTCGAATATCAATAGTACTGATCGTCAATATTGATGAGCTGTCTATGTACTATCCGCGTATCCTAAAATTTGTACCTCTTAATTAATCCGGATAAATATGTGAAACTTTGATCAATTAAAAATTCGTTGTGATAAATCAACACTAGTATTCGCAATTTAGTAGTTTGTGGATTATTTTTGACGTATTGAGTCTTGCATTCAAATCCTAAGATGTAGTAAAATTTTTATCAAAATAATAATAAAAAAAAGGTTGAATTAATAGCAATGGTAACGCATAGAGTTATTGTACTGATTAGGATGCATGCGAATGCATGCTGATATTCATACAAAAAGGGAGAATGATTTTACAAGAGAGCTCGGCCAGAGGATGGTGAAGGTCATGCCGGTAGTCTTCGGTGCCTGTACAATACAAACACAAAATCTGAGACAATTAGGACTTTTTCCATAGCAGACTTATAGAACATTTTAAAGGTTCGTATTCAATCAAATGGTATATTCTAGAGAGAGAAAGTGAGAGAGGGGAGAACTATATGACGAGAGACCTGAAGGCGAGTCACGAGCAAAGCACACAAACAAGACTGCGGAAGCAAGGGCAAGGAAGAAACACAAGAGAGCTGCAGAAGACATGTTGATATGAAAAACCAACACGGCTCTCTCACTCTCTACTAGTGCTTAAGTACTACTGCTCTGAATTTTCGAATGTACGTGAATGAAGAAGGCAAGGTGAATGTCTCTATTTATAAGTGAAACTTTTGTTGTCTTCTATATGTACTACTTCTATTTCTTTTTTTTTCTTTTTTTTTCTTTTTTACTTTTTTGAAACTTAATGGCGCTATTTTTTTAGAGTAAAATTTCATTTAACTAAAAAGTCTTACGAACACTAAAAATAATGCATATGACTTTGTAGTGTACAATTCAAAATACTCAATAAAAAATGGTTCCATCAATAAATTTTGACGAAGTACAAGAAAGATGATGTAAGACGAGATTCGATATCGGGAGAATTCCTCGACACATCAATTTGAGTACACATAAAACTCTTTTTAAAACCATTATAATTGATGGAAGCTTTCGTCCATCAAGAGCATGTAACATGTAGCTCTAAGGCCACCAACATCCCCGCCTAGACCCATAACTAGCAGAACTTCTTATTTGCCAAGACCTAAATCTAATAGACCACAAATAAACTCAAATTGTGGGAGACCCATCTCCATGATTACAAATAAAATACTAAAATTAGGCGGAAGTATCAACGCCTTTATTAGACTAAAATATAAAAAACTAAAAAAAAAAAAGCGATTGAAGGATAGCCGAGAAGAGGACCATCAGGATAGCAAGAACGCTTCTAGGGATAAACGGCAAAGCCAACGAGATGCCTTCAAATAACAGATTGTGAAACACACGTGCTACCATCTTCAACATGCCCGTAATAAATTTTTCGAACCAGAAGTCCAACGACGCACCCGAAGGTGGTCCAGGAATTCTGACCGACTCACTCTCTGTTTTTTTTTATCTTTCTCGTTTAATTCCTAGGGCCAGCTCAAAAAAAATTAAGTACAGTAAAAAATATAAAATAATATTGTTGAGATTAAGAAAAAATATTATTTTAATGAGATTATTAATTTATCAATAAATTAATATCTTATTAATTTAAGGAGAGTTTTATATTTTAATAACTTGTGCCATCATGGTACTTGTATTATTTTTTCACCACGATTCATGTATGAGTTATAAATTAAAAAAAAAAAAAGTGGATGTAGTCAAAATTAATATATTTACATATAGAATTTTAAAAGTCATTGTGTATACAATAAATGTTATGTATATATACATAGAAATCTCAAAATTAATATAATTACATTGTACATAAATGTTAATAATTACATACATAGATATAAAATTGATGAACGTATTTTTCAATTTAAATAACCTAGAAGAAAAAAAAAATTCCTTTATATGATGATTTATATATGTTATTTATTATTTTATTTTTTGTATTAAATTAATTATTAATTTATATTTTCATTGGACTCTAAAAGATTTGAAAAAAAAATTATTTTATACATTTAACGATATTATTAATTTAGTACATTTGTCTAGGGATTGGAACATTTTATAATTTAATTAAAGTTATTAATTTATCAATTATTCATTTATAGAGATTTTACTGTACCTTGGTGAGATACTAGGCTGTCATATACTTCTTTTTACTTTACAAAATTTCATATATAACAAATTTTAGTTTATACCCAAAAGGCCAGTAACTATTGTTTAATTATCTTTCTAGAATGGGATGATTAGTATATAGCAGTTTTTGACCCTAATAATTATCAATACATCACGGTTTGGCGAAATATTACATGATAAAACGTGAGCTCAAATTGGAGTAGGACTAGTACTTTTAATCAAGCAAAAAAAGAAAAAGTAAATTGAGCATGTAAATCAAACACAGTAACTACTAAATATTTACACTTAATTAGAAATCCCATAATTCAGATTTTTGATTTATTGTCACTTTCCTTATCACATTATTCACAGGCACAAAACTCTCTTAAATTCTTATGTCGATATTGCTGGAGAATTAATAGCGCCATAAATATGGATTACACTCAAGCCTAGAATAAAAAAGGAAATATCGCATTTGACACGGGCAATCGAAGGGACCGGGTTTATTATCTTGGTGACATTAGATGGTTTGAATGGCAAAATTCCCTCGGTTAATTATGTCCAGCTGAACTTAAAAAAAAAAAAAAAAAAAGTGCTAAAAGTACAGCTTTAACCATGACCACCAACAGATAATCACAAAGCTATTTAAAAATTCGGAAATTATAGGATTATCTTCTAAAAGATCTTAACGTTTAAATTCAAATTAAAGATGAGGATAAATATCGATATTATAAGGATAAAATAAAAATTAATTTCATAAATACCTCCATAACTTTGTAGTTTATTTCAACATGCCTCTTAAATTTAAAAATTATTCATTTAATCTTTTAAAGTATGTACCCTAGTACAAAATATCCCTATATTTGTAAAATTAACAAATTGATGACATGACATTAATGTTTTTATCAATGCCTCTCACATTATTAATTTTAAGTCAACCTACCTCTTAAATTATTACTTTTGTGTCGACGTGTCTCTAATTTTTAAAAGATCCGGGTCCAGTTGACACAAAATCTATAATTCAGGGAATGTTCATGAAAAATATTAGTCAAATTTTTTATATTTTAAGAGGTGAAATGAACTATTTTTAAAATTCAATTGACATGTTGAAATATGATACGAAGTTCAAAAGGCATATATGAAATTAATCTATAAGATAACTATAAGCTTTGGATTCTATGACTGTATCTTGCAATTATTCAAATGTGTATTTTTTCTTTAAGACAACATGAATATTAAAAAAATAGAGAAAAGTATATGGTTAGGGGACTAAAACTCTATTAGGAAGCCCTAAGTCTAGTCGTTGGCAATCACGCCTAAGTTCTTTGTGTATTCTCTCTACATATTGATTCACTCAAACACTATAGTCTATAATGGACGTAACTGTCGTATTAAGGATGAACCATTTTAAATTCTATCCGAAAAAAGTGGTGACCTTAAAACACCATCGAGAATTGATTACTCACATCGTGGATCTCGTTGACAACCTATCATCTAAGGGCTTTAAAGAGAATTGCCACAAGTTTTAAGTTTCGATTAACATATGCATGGGACATAAACAATTATAGAGAATACCACAGTCATATCATCACACTATATTCATAATACCAATTATACCATCAGGATACCGATAAGTATCCAACCACAATACTAATATCCAACCGAAATACCTGACCACAAAATCGGTATCCAATCAAGATACCCAGCGGACAACCGCCAGTATTAGCGGCAATAGTCGCCGCTAGCTATCAACTACAAGCGCCCGTATTGGCAATAGTATCTAATCGAGAGACTGATTGGTGTCTGTAAGAATATTGGTTACCGACCGGTAACCACTAGGTCACCTGCCGGTAACCACCGATTACCGGCATGTATCGCCTAATTTTGTCAGGAATCGCAGTTACTGGCAGTCACCGACCAGAACCGGCAATATATGGACAATACTTGTGGTATCCGGGTCAGTAACCAGCGGTATCCCGGTAAAAACACCATAACACATTCCAGATCAGAGAAAAAGTTTACGAACAAAACAAAAAATCCAAAGATTTCCAACAAATCAGAAATCAAAATTTCATTAAATGCATTATGTACGTGTGATATTATACAGACTTTGTTTAACTATAATTAACTTGGTAACTCTCCAAATCTGCAAGGTAGGAGCAAAAAATACTAGTATCGAACTGGCCGGTCTAAGACAAATTTCGGCAACATAAGGATGAAAAATTAGCCACAACTTGTACAATAACGATGGATATAAAATAGAGAGAGAGAAAAGAGGAAAACAAAAAAACAAAAAAAAAACCTAAACTGCCCAATGGCAGGACAAATCCATTAGGAATTTACGACATACCATCAATGTTACTCTTAAGTTCGTAAGAAGAAATTCTGGAATTCTTGAGAACCCAATATTGTCAACAAATACACACTTTGGAACTTCTACATTCTTTCAAACACTCTTAATGCGCTATCAAAGTGTCACTACTACATAATAGTGACTAAATAAACCATATTTTTAAGCTCATACAACATATATCATCTTTTCTTAAAACCATATTTCTTGCGTTCATAGAACAAATCTGTCTTGGCACTCCCTAAATTAACAATCTTGGGACATCCATCCCTATCTTTCTCCTGCTGTGTACACTCCTTGCAGTAGTAGGCATCGGAAATTCCAACGCCTCCGCAGATGACGCACCGACCCTGAAACGATCCATAGTTGCACTCGTCACAGACCCGCACAAGAGTGCATGGACGCACGTAGGAATCACAGATCACACACTTCCCGTCACACTTCTCGCAAAGTCGTCCGATGGCAATTCCTGGTTGTTTGCGGCACATGATCAGATCGGGATGATGCTTAGCCATGATTCCTGTAAAAAGTTCTCAACTCCCGAATATAACAACTATCTGCAGACACATGATTGATGAAGGAGTTAGACATGAAGAAGTCAGTAATCAAATACCCTAAATAAAAAAAAATAAAAAATAAAAAGACAGAGAGAGAGAAGAAGAAGAAGCTCAAGAGATAATTATGAAGAACCAAATGCATCTATGTGTGAACAGAGCACATCCTTTCTAAAGAAAAATAAAAAAGAAATGAAGTACCTCACATCCAAAGTTAGACATACGATTGTGTCACGTCAGAAACATATCAAACGAGAGAGGATAATATCATAATAAGAAATTACTATAACCCCGACAATAAAACTCTCACAAACTTTTAACAGACACCTTGTCAAACTGAATTAAGGAGGAGCTTTAGATAAAAAGGAACAACACAGAAAATACAAACCAAGAACTTCCAAAAAATGAAATCTATAAAACTTTCTGTGGATAATACACCTCGTCACCAACATTGGAAAGTGTCTATGATCCTAAAAGAACTAAGAAGTACATAAAACTTTCACATAAGAAAACCAGACATAAAAACCTGCTGTAACTTTTAGTGGAAACTTATACAACTCCAAGGTGACAAGGTCTCTACTTTCTTCCACGAAAAGACCATAAAATGAGAAATCTAGTCGGGCATTAGAACATACAGTATAAAGCACGACATAAAAAACAAAAATTATCATTTCAATTCGTTTTCCGTCCTCCTAGTTAGACATCAGGACAAAAAATTTCCAGTCACAGAAAACAAGGATAAAGATAATTATTCACACTATAAACCAACACAAGGCTTAAACTAAGGGTGCACATGGTCGGGACAGGCTTAGGTTTTGGGGAGGTCAGGTTGGGATATGTTGAAACTGAAACCAGCAGTTACACTTTGCGGTCAGGTTCCCTATCGGACCTCTTTGGGGGAGCACACAAGAATAGAACTTATAGATAATATTTCCAGTTATTTATACGAAGATAGCATAATTTTTTGCCCATATAATAATTTAAAAGTACAAACTAATGAAATTTAAATAAGTTAGCACATGAAGTACATAATCACATATAGCGTAAATGACTAATTAGCAAAAAACCTTGTTTAAAAAAATTGCAAAAAAAAACTCAAATACAACACTAATAAGTAATCATGCGCGCACATGAAACTTTAAGCATGGTTTTTCATTTTCATATGACATAAAATTTATGATTCCAGTTTCCAGTTTCCAAAGACAAATGACTTTCTTTTTCTTTTTTTTTTTTAAAGAAGAGAATGGTATCGAAAGATATAATCCAAGGTGGAAAGAAATCCAACCAAATAATATCTTTTTTCTATTCAAAGAGCAAGTAAGAATAAATCATGTGATGTTAGGAAAACAACACATAAGATTTATTTAACTGCCTGGAAGAAGAATAAAGACATACAGATCATAAAGACATAAAGATCATAAGATCAAGAGGTTGTTAAAAGATAACATTTCGAACTTGCAAAATATATATAGATATATGAAAAAGTATTTAAAAAAATTAAAAAAATTAAAAAAAACTAGATTATTGAAATTTTAAGAAAACAAGAGGGATGAACTTATCTGATATTGAGATAGGATTACGATGACCTCGGAATATGAGTTAAGCAAGATGTTAATAAGGATATCGGGATTTATATTCAACCAAAGTTGAATGCTAAACCACAATTAAATTTACCAGCGTATGTAGAGGATTGCAGTATTTAACCAAGGTTGATTTTGATTTTTTTATTTACTTTATATTTATATTTTATTTTTCTATTTTGTTTTATTTATGTAAGAGAGAGTAAGGAAGGATGGCCTAGCCTTCCTTACCAACCTCTTTTTAATACATAGCAAAGCAAAACACTAATAGGGAATAGAAACCAGTAATAAAAATAAGACTAGTGTGATAGATATAGGAGCAATTATTGACTTTTGAAATATACAAGTAATTGATGAAATCCAGTTATCCTAATAAGGGAGAAATTTTTGAAAATGTTTGAGAACATAACGGAGGGAAAAAATTTTACTAACTATTTAAAAGAAACTGCAATAATAGCAGACATCTACAATCAAGATAATAGTGATAAGATTTAACATTAAAAATAGATTAAAATATATCTTTAAAAAATTATGAAGATGAGAAAAAGTAATTTATGAGGAAAGACGTTTTTTTTTTTTTTTGGACTTATGAGGAAAGTTAGGTAATGTAGCATTTAAAAGTTAATTAACTTTTCTGTAGTTTAATATAAGAACTAAATATAATGATAAGAAGTTGTCATCATAATAACTAGATACTATGAGTAAAACTTTAAAAAAAGAACTATTGAAACACCCATAAGGGAGACTATTTAAACACTTACATGAAGAGACTAGTGAAACTCAAGAGGAGAAAATATCACTAACAAAAGAAAATTGTGATGTACGAAAATAATATTAGTTGTAACAAAACAAAGAGAGAAAATATAAGAGTAAAGTACAACTATGATACAAGACAATGGCATAGGTTATTACATACAGATAGACAACAACATGTGTAGCAGAATGAGAGTCAATTGGAAAATTCAATTAGGTAAAGGAACAAGTATAAAACCATGGCATAATGCAACAAGTGCATAAACTAATTGAAGAAAAACCCAGATAAACAAGGATAAACTAAAAGACATTTCAAGAAAGAAATGCCATATAGTAGGAATCCAGATGGATTCCAGAAGCAGCTCCAACCAAAACTAGTTACCAAACAAAGAAAGAGGAAACTAATCCTAATCTATACAGATCATCAAAAACGATTCACGCAGTAATTAATACAAACACCTGATCTATAACATATTATAGTATAGACATAACTTTGTCAGAAAAACATAAAAGAAATTGTAGAACTCACTACTTTCTAAAGTAACGGGAAGATAATCAATACATCATACTAAAACAATCAAATTATACAAAGTAGTACATACTCTAATTGAATTACCTAACGCAAAAACAAATTTACATAAACAAACTTCTAAATGTGAAAAACAAATTCTTAAAATAAAGCAAAATATGAACAAGCGATGATAAAAAATACTTGTAAATCCATGAGATGAGACTCAAACCGAAAGGATCCAATTAGTGATTAAAGGCAATGCTGCGTTAGAACCGTACAAAATCACTTCCAAATTTCCAATCAAGGGTGATCAGAGATATCACTCAACACCAAACAAGAGTTGAACACAACTTTCAAGATAAAGTAAAGGATTGAAAGGTAAAGTAGCACATATATTTTCCATAGGCAGGCAGAAGAGAAGAAAAAATTGATTAGACAAACAGAAAAACCACCACAAAGCTTATCAGAAAATGGTTACGAAGGATTCATTTATGGAAAAACTAAGGTTACATAATACCCCTAAAAAGAGAGAATTTGTTAGATTTCCAAACAAACATATCAAAAGTTTCAATAAAAACAGAGAGAGAGACCTTTTCGGAGTAGAGGCAATCGAAGGAACGCAAGGACCAAAATGAGAGCAATCGAAGGTGACGTTGAGAGAGAGACCTTTTCGGAGTAGAGGCAATCGAAGGAACGCGGGGACCAGAATGAGAGCAATCGAAGGTGACGTTACTTCCTTGGGGGTCCTTTTCGGAGTAGAGGCAATCGAAGGAACGCAAGGACCAGAATGAGAGCAATCGAAGGTGACATTACTTCCTCAGGGGTTTCTTTGAAACTCAGCAGAACTCTACCCTCAATTCCTCCGATTTCATTTGTACGAATTAGAACGTGAACCGAAAGTATTATTCCGAGATCAAAGGCGAGAACTTTACCAGATTCTTAGACGAGAGCAGTGAAATCGAAGAAGAAGATTTGCTGTTATTGCAAATGTAAAGGAACCTTTGTTGTTGTGTTTCTGAGTTTGGCTATAAATGTAATGGAAACCCTAGTCCCACACCGAAAAGGAAAATGCCAAACGGGACGAATTGAGGGTAGAGTTCTGAAAGCAATGATTGTCAAAAGTGAGATGTAATTTGAATTGAGATGTGATTTTATGTGAGAATTTTAACTGTAATAAAAAAATTAGATATAATTATTTTTTAGAACTTTTTACTGTAACAAAATTTGAATTTTAAACTTGAATCGATAAAATGAACGGGACATAAATACTCTTTTTTACATTATAATTTGAGGTTTCATGACTAAAATTTATATTCTAAAAAACACCCTAAAAATCAGGTTCTCAAACAACTGTCCTTAGTACGATTAACAATCTAATTAAAGAAATCAAGAATCAAACCAAGAATGAATATCCAAATGTTTAACAAATCTAATCCAATATCAAAATTGCCAAAGGATGATTACCAGAGACGGGAAGGTAAGAGGCAAAGGCTAGGGTTTCGTTCTACACCACGAAAGAAATGACTCCGATTATCAACTTCCTGGAATAATACCGGAAAAAAAGAGTTAACACTAACTTCAAAAGCAAATGGGCTTGGTAAAATCAAAGAAGAAAGAGAAAGACAAAGAATTGCTAACCCAAGCTCGGTTGAGATGGCGACGGTATCAATGACGGCGTCATTTTCCGGTGAGATTGTGTCGACGGCAGAGAGAAAAATCCAGACACGGGGAAAAGAGTTGTTTATGTGATTCCTTGAGTGATCATAGCTCATTTAGTTTGTTGATTTGAGTTTTTAATTTGAGTTTAGATGTGATTTAATATAAGAATTTTTTATTATAATAAAGACGTTAGATGTGACTGTTAGTAGGGGTGGCAATTCGTGTCGGCGGGTCGTGTTCGTGTTGTGTTAACTCCCTTAGTTAACACAAACACGACCCGTTTATTAATCATGTCGAAATACAAAACCCAAACACGACATGTATATTGGCGGATTGACACGACACGACACGAATAACCCGTTTATTAAATATGTCATAAACGTGTCGTGTCAACCCGTTGATTACCTGTCAACCCGTTTATAAAATGGGTGATAAATGGGTCGTATTAACCTATTTTTGAACATATTTTTGAGTCTATTTATAAAATGGGTGATAAAACATGTTTCTCAACTTGTTTAACATATTGTAGAGACATTACATAATCTAAGTTTAAAATTAAAACAAACACACAAGAGTCTCTCACAAATTAGAAAATAAACACACATTATTAATAATTACACATTTAAATAATTTATTACGTAGAGGGGACTCCAAATTAAATTAATATGCACAAAAGAAAATTTAGTTCAATACCACTAACCATTGTATCCCCAAGCGGGTAATTTAAAACCCTCTTGCACAAAAAGATTAACAACCACACAAAGTAAGGAATTATGAGGGACCAAAACATATATAACAACCACACAATATTAGAACCACCGTTGCCAATATTAAAACCTATTAACAACCACACACAGCAAAAAATTATGAGGGACAAGAACATATATAACAATTATATTCCTTTATATTCCTTCGAACATATATATATAAACACACGTTACACACACACACAAAAGTAACTTCCACACATTTACAGTATTCCATTATTTTGTACGGCTACCAAGAATCATCCTCTACTGCCTTTTAAAGTTATTATTCACTTTCCTCTTCCAAGTTATAAGTCAAGAATCCTTGTTACTTAATATTATAAGATTGGCCACTTTAAGTTTTCAAGAGTCCAAAATAAAACAGATTATATTGAATGATAAATGTGAGGCATGAACCAAAGGACACATTTATATTCCTTCGAACATGACAAAGCAGGCCATGAACCAAAGAAGAGAGTAATGTACAGGAGAAACCTTGAAAGAATCTACTTTTAACTTCCTACATTGAAAGAATCTTGTTCTAATTTTATGTCTAGAAGCAAAAAAATCATTCACTAAACGAATCATAAGCATAAAAAAGCATATAATGGAGTCTAAGCACAAACATCAAAACAAACATAGATCAAATCATCAAAACAAAAACCAAAAATGAACCCAGAAGAGTTTGACGGAGATGAAGCCGAAATACCTGTTTTAAAGGCCGAATTTGATGGACCCAGAGGAGTTTGATGGAGATGAAGCCGAAATACCTGTTTTAAAGGCCGAATTTGATGGACCTAGAGGAGTTTGTGTAACGCCCTCCAGAATTAAGCATGTTTAATTATGTTAATTGTGTATATTAGTGTGTCTAAAATTGATTTTTTCTAATTAATTTTGTGATTAAAAATTAAAATTTTGAGTTATTTTAACGACTTACAAATTACTTTCAGTTTTTCAATTTTCACCCCAAAAGTTTTAAAAATACACTTAATTTTAATATATTTTCTTTTATTTTTCCCTATTTCTTTTATTTTTCCTTTTTTTCTTTCTTTTTCCTTTTCCTTTCTTTCTTTTCTTTCTTTTCTTTTTTATTTTTCCCTTCCCTTCCTTCTCGTGGCTGCCCAGACCAGCCTTCTCTTTCTCTCCCTTTCTTTCTTTCCTTTTCTTCTTTCTTCTCCACGTAAACTCTATCTCTCTTTTTCTTCCTTCACCGCCGGCCACCACTCCGTCCCTCTCTCCGGCCACCTCTCTCTCTCTCTCCCTTGCTCTCTCTATGGGTTTCTCTTTCTCTCTCTCTCTCTCTCTCTTGGAGTTCCCTGCCGAAACAGGGAAGAAAGAAAAAAAAAACCAAAAATGGGAGAAACAAAGGGAAACAATGCTCCATCAACTAATTTGAGGTAAAACCCCTTGAAACCCACTCTTTGATTTGAGTTTTAAACTTGAGAAAGTTTAATTTTGATTAGATTTGAATAACTGTTGTTGGACATATTGAATTGAATAATTGTTGTTATAATTGAATGAAATTTAGGGGTTTTTAGTTATTGGACATATTGAATTGATTGGAAACTGATTTTGATGGATTCTAGAGAATTTATTTTGAAATTGAACTTGAATTGCAGGTTTGGCATTTTTCCTATTTATGTCGGCATGTTGCCGAAATTTCTTTAAAAAGTTATTTTTAAGCTGAAATTAAATAGAAAGCCAAACCCATGAATTACTTAAATTACTTAAATTACTTGTTGGTGCCTGAAATATACACTTTCAGTTTATTTACCTTTCAGAAAAAGGTTGTTTGGTTCCGATTGATTATTTCAAGCCTGACTCTCTCATTTTATTCACTTATTTATTTATTCAGTTTTATATATTATATCCTATTGGGCATTCTGCTCACTTTTATTATGTTTTCAATGTTTTAAACCCATCCTCCAGAGTTAGCAGTTTAGATTTACAGCATGGCAAGTGGATGCCAATGGATTGAAGGCATGAGATTCGAAGCAGTACGTTTGTTTCGGATTTACAGTTTTAAATTCTGAGATGTACTGTATTTTTGTATGTAAACTGTATTAGTTGACATTGTCCCAGAGTTGTACTATTTTCCTTGGACTTTATGGACTGTTTTAAATATTATTTGTGAAAGAAAGTCTCCGGAGCAAACTATATTGATATTTATGTTTTTATTTTTGTGATTTTGTTAAACAGTCCAGTTTAATTAAATTAAATTTTAAATTAAACCCCAATAATCGCGGCCCTATCCTTGGGGTTGTGACAGTTTTTAGTATTAGAGCACGGCTTCGAATTCTATGGGAAATCGAGCATGTGTGAGTTTTTACTGAGTTTTGTTGTTCTTTTAAAAGTTTTGTATCGGGACGTGTCGTACAATACTAATTAATATGTTATATAGTTGCACTTGAGAATTTGACGTTAGAGTCCGTTTCATTCTCCTAGAGAACTTTGATGGATGGAATCCATGTTTCTATTATCGATGTTTATCGATATGAAGATCGAGGTTAAAGTTGACATTGAAGTTTTTGGGATGTATTGATTTCGACCCGATGGTTATTGATTTGTTTCCATAAGTGCTCTTGACTCTTGTCAGTTTCAAATTCAAAATCAGTATTGACTTCAAAATTCTCATGAAGATTTCAGTTTTGAGATGATATTCGTTCTGACTTCCGTGTAGTTGAACTCTCGATATTGGTCCCTTCCACTTTTCGACATGTCTAACATGGGGGGTTTAAGTTGATGGAGAGCGACGACTTGAAATCGAGTAGTTTTGATCATTAAAGTTTCCTTCCTCCTTGTTTGGTTCTTTCCGATTCGATCAATGCGCAAGTTTAGTCCTGCAATCTAGCTTTGTATCCTAGCTACTCGTTTCAATTCATTGATGCATTCTTTTATCTCTTGAGAGTGTTTTGCTCAAGAGTGTTTACTTTATGGGTTCTTGTGTTGATGAGACATCGTTCTTTCTTCGATTGATGACGATGGTGGCTATAGACTTCGTCGAGATATTGACGTTTATCTCTGATATTTATTGTATTCGACCTAGTTTGGAAGCGTGGTAGGTCATAACCCACAGGTTCCAGGATTCCAACTTTGAATTCTTTCCTAAATCTGTTGTGATCGGGAGTTGGTCTCTTCGTTATTATGTGTGTATCGCATCGTGCTATCTCTCCATCACGATCCTACGTTATTCAGGAATTGAAATTCTTTCTTGTCTCGAGTGTTCGGTGATTCCATTCCCTTGTTAACTTGAACCATGTCATTGTGAGACATTGACTATGGATATTAATATTTGTGATCATTTCGCTTTTGGAATTCTAAATTCAAGCTCTATTCTTAATATGTTTTGAACTGGAGTTGGACTTTCTACTTGATAACCGTATTTTGATTCATATTATCTTTCTATCATGAATTAATGTTATTCTAAGATCAAGACCGCTTCTTGTTTCGAATAGTAGTCTCGGTAATTATGTTCCTAATACGAAAACATGTCATATCGTTCACTTCCTTTTAGTGTACGGTGATCATTGGTGCGAGACTTAGCAATCTTGACTTCGAAGATCCCTATTCAGTCACCGGATTTTGGAGATTCAATCAATAATTTAGGCTCATATCTATTCGATATTAAATTCCTATTGGTTCTTCTTTTAGAGTCAAATTTGACTATGTGAATTTCTTCGACTTTCTAGATTC